TTCCCTCGCAAATCCGTCGCTGAAAGTTCCCTCGCAAATCCGTCGCTGATAATTCCCTCGCAAATCCGTCGCTGATCCGTCGGTAAGTAGATCCCTCGCTAATCCGTCGCTGAAAGTGTCTGTCGCAAATCCGTCGCTGATTTCCGTCGCTGATAGCATTACCTACGACTGTTTGACCGACGGAGTATCAGTGACGGATCAGCGACGGAAAGACCTTTCAGCGACGGATCAGCGAGGGAATTTTCCCTCGCTGATACTCTGCATTTTTGTAGTGACTGCAAGCCTCATCTCATATCACCATTACATACCAGATGACTATTGTCAACAATTACGAGATTTATTAGAGTAGCATGAGAGTGTATAACTACAGTAGACTTCAATGTCATCAAGTCACTCTTATGATTACACCAAAAATGTCTATAATACTCGTATGAAATCTCATGATCTTCTCATTATGGGTCTCTCTTGTACACTTGTTTACCAACTTGCACCCATAATTGAACCTCCATATCAACCATAAGAGTCCTTATATCATGTTAGTCCCACTTGTAATTAGTTTAGCCCATATAGGGATTTTTAAGAAATCTTATGGACTGTTTACCTAAGCATTTAACGTTAGGAGTCAACACTACAATTTATTTTATCAGGTAAGACTGTAATACATCAAAATGGTATCATATGCGACAATTTACCCGATAAACACTTACCCGGGTAAGATTCGTCACCCTCACTTACCAAGTAAGATTCGTCACCCTCACTTACCGAGTAAGATCTCGATCTTTATTATTGCTTTTACCAGGTAAGATTTTTGACTTTTCTCATGTTCATCCGATAAAAAAATTACCCGTTAAGCACTTAATTACCAGGTGAGCGTTTAGTAAACGGTCCTTTATTTTAAGGTTATTACCATGTTCATTTATCAATATGAAAGATAAATGACGTATAACGAATAGACGATGCCTTCTATATATTAATCATAACTCAGTATTTAAAATCATCAAATGATTGGTTTTTGAAAATATTACTATCATGCAAGGTTTGGAGGTAGGTTGTAAGGATACCTTGTCTTTACCCTAACAGATAAAAAAGTTTTGTTTCCCATAAATACCCTCAGCTTTCCAAACGAACATTAAATAAAACTGTATACAAGCAAATAAATAATATAAAACTCGTGAAAACCAATATTCACACAAAAATAAATACTTTTTTTTGTTAAATTAAAGAAAATAAAGAAAAAGCCATTTAATTTAATAACTTAGAACAGGTTCCTTTTTCCTTTGTTGCCATTGATTCACTCGTTTTCTTGTTTGCTCCACCTACAAATTAATTTCATAAATTACCATAACATTATTTATCCTTTAGAAACTTTAATTTAGGAAATAAAAAAATAATAATAATACTAAGGTCCCGTTTGGTTTGTGGGAATGGAATGAAATGTATTTGGGGATTTGGATTTCAGATCCATTCCAATCTCATGTTTGGTTTATTTTTTCAGATTAGAAATCTTAGGATTTAATTGAAATCCTACAAACATAGGATTTTGAAATCCTTAGTGGGTGTTCGGGATTTCATAGGATTGTATGCAATAAGGTTTTAAAAAATGTTAAAAACATTTGTGTTGTAATAATCGGTTAAAAATGTAATTTTTTTTATAAATAATGGAATCCAATTCCATTCCAAATCCTACAAACCAAACACGTCAATGATTTCAAATTCATTCCAATTCAAATCCCTTCATGAAATCAAAATCCCTAAAAAACAATCCTGCAAACCAAATAGATCTTTGGTAGATGTATATTTGAAAATTACCTCCTTTTGCCAATCCGTTCGGAATGTAACCCATAGTAAAATACATGTTTGCATCGTCACGCCCCCGACCAGGCCCAACCATATGCCCTACGTTTCATCAAGTATACATGTTTGTAGTGTTATTTTTCAAAGGTAAGACTTAGGGGTCGTTTACCCAAATGCTTACCCGGTAAGTACTTACCGATAGAAGTCTAACACTATAATTTATTTTGATGCGTAAGATTTTAGTACGTCAAAACACATCAAATGCAACAATTTACTTGGTAAGCGCTTACCTGAGTAGTAGTCGTCATCTTCACTTACCGGGTAAGACTCTCCATACTTCTCATTACTCTTACCCGGTAAGATTCCTAGCCATTCTCATATTCATCCGATGAGAAAATTTATTCGATAAGCATTTACCAAGTAAGTGTTTAGTAAACGACCCTTATATAGCTTATAATTATAAAAAATTCTCATGAATATTTATTCTGAAATAAAATTTAAATAAAAAATAATAAAATTGATTGTACCTTGGCACCAAGGTTAAGCTTGAAGGCCAACAAACAGCCAAGAGGAACTCCAACCACATAATAGCATCCCACATTCACATATGCAACAAATGCTTGCCATCCACATCCAACCGCCACCCCTATATTGATTTAGGGTTTAAGGTTTAAGGTTTATTAGTTAATCCGGCAAATTAAACTAACTAAATTCATGGTGAATGATATTTTTAACGTATATTGGTGGGAAATTCGAGCTGGGTCGTAAAGTTCGTTAACCTGAAAGGACGGGTTGAATGCCGTTGAGGACGAGGGAAAGTGCGAGGAGAGGGGTGAGTTCCGAGACAGCATCTGCGACAGCTTGGCCTTCAGTAAAAGCATAGCTTATGACGTGACGTAAAGCTAAGATGATGATGGCACATATCACCGAGATGACGAACGAGCAAAGAGTCACTATTATGACAGAAAAGGCCGCTGATTTCGGATGCCCTGCACCTAGCTCATTGCTCACTCTCACACTGTCATATACATTTTTCGTCACTAAACATGAAGAAATCATTAAAATGCAGTGACCAAGAACCATAAGTCACAATTTTGAAGACTTTGATGACGGGTTTCTATCCGAGTGATGAAAACAAACCTTGCGGCAGCATTAAACCCGATTGAAATCATCAACACCCATCCAAGTATCGTACTGCACACAGCCAGTGAATCCAACGCTATTTCAGGGTTATCAAGCAGACCCGCAATCAAGATCAATATTTGAAAGTACCACGTCTCGAGACACAACATCACCGCAGACGATAGCGACAACTTGAAGAACGCCCAGAGTCCCGAAAACGCCTGCATATTGAACCCAGTCCAGGTCTCCTTAGTCCGTTCGCTCTTGACAATGTACACAAACTGCGCAACCACGATCGCCCACCACGTAAAGCTCAACACCAGTGACGCACCCAGTAAGCCCCAACCCCACACGTAGAGTGCGATCCATGTCAACAGGATATGAACCACGAGCATGGCGGCGGCAATGTAGGCACTGGGGTTGACAATGCTCTGAGCTTGAAGGAACTTTTGAATGGGAAAGTTGGCGGCGTATGCAAAAATCTGCGGGATGAGGCCGTAGATGAAGAGGGCGGCAGCAGCTGCGATCTCCTTTGATTGGCCGATTAAGATCAAGAGGGGATTGGAGAAGATGTAGAGGATCATAAGAGGAACGCCTGTGACCATTAGAAGGATGGTTGCTCTTTGAAGATAGACACCAAGCATTCCATATTGGTTAGCTCCATAGGCTTGACCACATAGCGTCTCTACTGCACTTCCCATCCCCAGCTACAACAGAAATAACCGTTTTAGATATTTTCTTACAAAATATTTATATTTTAATCCTTTAAAACTCATGTTTACAACCATACATTTGAAATTCAATGTAATTCATGAAAGGGTTGTTTGGGATTGCTTATTTGAAATAACTTATGTTTTTTTTATAAAAGTGTTTATCAATTTATTATAAGTTAGAATGATTTAACTTTTTCAAAAACTCCTTATTACCGGTTTGGCACCGGTATAAGTTGTTTATTCGAACACTCAAAAGTGTTTATTACGAGTGTCACACCGGAATAAGTCAATAAGTTATTTTTATAAGCAATGTCAAACACCCCCTAACGGGGTAGTTTTCTTCTTTCATTTTTAATGTCTATATCCGGATGCATTTACATCCTTAAGAGTGTCTTATTACAATAAATTTAGGTTTATTTAAAAAAGTGTCATCTAAAAAATTTGGTTTATAAATCACTTCCCAAAAGTGTCATGTAAAATAGTTAATGCGATACTTTTTTATTAAAAGTGTCTAAGATATCCGACGTCTTATGAAAATATTGTAACGTCTTTAGATATGACGCTTTATTTTTTTGTTTTATAAATTGTGTCGCATAAAGCAGTTAATTAGGATGCCTAGGAAGTGTTGGCATCTTATAAACCCAATATTATTGTAGTGTTTCCAACAGATACTTTAAAATGGAGAAAATAGGGCTTAATTTGGTCTTTTATATTGTTACTTAAAATATAGAAAACAAGAGAATGTTACAAGTTTAGAGAATTATTAAAATTGATGTATGCAAAAAGAAATTAATTTTTTATTTATTTTCATCAATGAAATTAAATTATTATCAATTTATATAAATTCTTTTTTAAAAAATATATTAAAATGACAAATTTATAGAATTATTTAATAATACAATAAACATAAATTTTTTTACTTTTACTTTTTTATTTTAAATTAAATCAATTTCATAAATAAATATATTAAACAAACCCCCAACATGGATGTATAAAAAGAGAGACCTGCACCCATTATACGGAAAGACTTCAAACAGTTCAAAATATATTTATTATTTAGTTATTTCGTCATTGTAATGTAATTCAGTAAATAACAAGATTTAATAGTTTGTATGTATATCATACACTTATAGGGTTAAATTCTGGTGAGAAAAAGACTAAAGGTGAAAAGCATAAAAAATAGATTTTCATCATTTGATGCATATTAGGATAAGATGCATCAAGATGTATATCGGATTAATCTCCGTATTAAACGTGATTAATGAGTGAGTTTAAGATTAAAAATGATCAATGAAGAATCCCTTTTACGCTACTTCTTTTAACTCTTATTTTCACATGATCTTTCATCTACAGTTATAAACATGAATTTTAAAAGATTATAAAAACACAAGTGTTGATTACTTTTTCATTTTGATAGTAATTGATATTATTTTAAAAGATTTAAATATTTATAAAGTATATAATGGTTTTAATCTAATTTTAAAATTCAAAAAGTTGTGGTCACAAAGATAACACCAAAATCTTTTAAGTTCCTTTCGACTAAAGTGGCTTTTTGAGAGGCAATTTTCTTCTTAAAAAACTTTGTTCAAATTCTTTTTTTCCAATCAATACAATAGAATATTAATATATTTTACTTTATCTTGAATTTAACTGGTAGTATGTAACATTTAATAACATGAATTTTAAATTATCAATCAATATACTTTGTTCCGGAAGGATCTGTCATTATATTTTTTTCAATCAGTACAATATGAAAGCTTAATATCTATGTAAATGTTACAAGATCAACAAGTTTTCTAGAAGAAAGACAAGAAAATAGAAAACGATGAAATTTTCTTACATTAATTTAGATGCCGTTTAGCAAATGGTTACCGAGTAAATTCTTATTGGCAAGAATCATCACACTCACTTACCGTAACGAATAACATTATTGACCATCAAAATGAATTGTTAGGTAATCAAAATGACTTTTACCCGGTAAACGTTTGTCGGGTTATAGACGTTTATCGTCAACTGATTTTGATGGTCAAGTATGTCACTCCATAAGATAAATTATAGTGATGATTCTAGTCGGTAAGTGCTTACATAATAAACGTTTGGTATAGGCCGGATAAACAACTTAGAATGCATTTTTAGTTATAATTTATAGAAAAACGTAAGATATATAAAAGTATTTGATAGAAAAGCTTAATACGGATATTAATTAATCCATAGTGGTATGTATTGTTTTAGTTACCATGACACCATAGGCGAAAAGCTGGACGCCATTGTTGCCGAGGGATGCCGCCGCCAGCTGGAGGTTACCCAGATGGCCGCAGAAGATTTGGGTGGACATCGACATCACGTTGTTTAGCACGTACACTATGATCGCCGGACCGGCTAACCGGAACAAACTATAGAGTTCCATGGCAGTGGCCTTTTGGAGTCGCCGGAAGTAAGTCAAAGTGGTGTCGGATAATATCTCCTCCAGCTCTGAGCTCACCACCTCCGCTAGCAGTGGCGACGCCACCACCGGATTCCGGTGCTTTGACAAAATGGGGTGGGTCAGCTCACCATCTTGGGTGGAGATAGGCTCCATTGGTTATGGCCGACTCCTTTTTACCTGCTTTTTAGGGTCTCATGGAAACTCCATTTTCCACCAATATATATAATTCAAGATGATATATAGTTTAGTAAATTACATAACGTAAACTTGATGCTTTTTATTTCATTTGATGGATATGACATAGTATGACAAAATTGATTGTTCCATATAT